CTTAAATAAAAACCGTGCATCAATTAATTGTATTTATGTAGTGTATCGAAAAAACCTACATAAGTGCGTGGGCATGTTCATACAGCGTGTGCCTATCTAGTCGGAGTACCGCATCAACAGACTAAGTGTTCTGCTGCAAGCAGTTTTATGGTAGAAGCGTCGGGAGAGGATTGACGTACGTGCAGCTTTGTGTCCCAAATCCAAAAAAGCAACAGGACCTCCCCAAGTTGTCCATGGCTTTGGTTTTGCAAGGAATTTCTGCGAGCGCTCATGTATGAGCAAGGTTAAGTATGGACTGCTGGTTCCCCTGGCAGGTGCAAAGCTTCTCCGTCTACTTCTCAGTAGACACTTCACGTTAGCCTCGCTTTGATATCACAGTGGGCCACATCAGGTCAGCGCATTTGGGGCCTGCATATCTCCAGCCATCTTGACGGCGGGGACTTCAAACAGACTTAGCATCGAAACGAGCCTGCTTCACTGTGCTTGTATGCCATGAGAATCAGAGTCAGGAAGACACAGCAGATGACACTCATCTGGGGTGCACCATGTTCGTCAAGGCAAGGAGGGCTTGGCAGGGTAAGAAGCCAGGAAAGTTGTTCGAAGGGGTGCTGGTCACGCAGTCCAGACAAATGCGCAGCAGTGTTTTTTCCAGCCTGTCTTGTGTGAATTAGTTGTCAGTGGCGAAAATGTGGGCCGGACTGTGGCCGCAGAAGGTTCGTGGTAGGGTTGGCTTCGCGGAAGCCATGGTAGCATTCCATGAGTACAGTGAGTACAGCATTCTTCGCGGAAGCCGGAAGCGAAGATTTTTCTTAGATGTCCTCATCGGGTCTATGCAGACCAATCAAACCAAACGCGCCTGAGCGCAAGTTAGACAGGTGGCTTGAAAAGCACACCTTGCAGTCCAGGCCATCCTGCCTGCAGACCGCGTGCAGACGCTGATGAAATTGTTGCAGACAGAGGGCCCCGCCCAAGTCTACACCGTCAGAGCCCTCAGATGCTTGAATCTGGCTGCTGCTCGTGGTTTGCATTGAGAGCTGCATCGATCAAAGCTTGACGCTCCCACAATGACTAGTTTCAGACTTGTTTCAAATCAAAGGCCAGTCTCAGCTCTGCCGAGCCAAAGACCACATCGCTAGGCTGGTGGCCATGGCTCAGTACCTCGCTAATCACTAATCCTGGCTTTTGGGCTGAGACCGACTCAATCTCGAAATGCTACTGACTGCAGGGGTACCTGGACCGCATCGTTCAAACATTATCTTAGCCGGCTAGTTGTGCCATTTGCTGCAGCAACAGCTCTTTTTGAGCATTGGGCGTTGGCTGGCTTGCAGAACATTGCCTCTCGGAGCTCGGCAGCCCGCAGCAGAACGGGACCTTGCATTTGCCTGGCACCCATTGGCCTTGCACTGACTGACTTGTGGGATACTCGGTTAAAACATCAAGGTTTGGCATCGATCGGTCGGGGCAGCTGGCTAGAATCACAGAAGCTCGGACTGCAGTGAAAGGAACGCAGGGCGTGCCCGCTTGAAAGCACCAAGCGTTCTTACAAGAGAGCCGCACTTGCTCACTTTCCAGCAGGTGTTCAGGCAGCACCTCCTGTCTGCCACATACATCCAAAAAAGCCCAGCACCCCTAAGCCAGATGTGACTGTCCATGCTAATGTTAAGCAACAAAATCTTGTCATTAACCAGGCGGGGAGATCAGGGGAAGCCTGTTTATGAAACAACGGACCATGTAACTCCTTTGTAAGATCGAAACACAGACTACCACAGCCAGCATAATTTGTCACGCGCATTTGTCCGCACCTTTAAGTCGCAGAGGAGTGGACTACCCAGCTTTGCCATATGTCAGCTTGGTGCAGTGCTACCCAGCGCAGTTTTCTCAGGAAATCCTGACTCAATTCGGAGTCAGCGTGCTGGCGGCTCAGTCAGGTGTTCACATGGCGAAAAGGTAATAGCCGGTACATACTGTGAACCTTCTGCAACCAGCGTTGAAATGAACACTTGAAATATTGCCTGCGCAGGCAGACCTGCAAAAGACATGCATTGAATCTGGCATGCAATCCAACCCAGCATTCCAGGTCCAATCTACATGTCCAGAGTGGAAGTTCTTAGCTTAGACTCAGTGTGCAGATGCTGTTCCTGTACAGGCAGCTGCTTGAGGCTTCATTGCTGTCGTGGTTTTTGACTGCAGGTGCTGATAGTGGGAAATGCGATTTCGTCCCGTGCCCTACAGGCGGGCCGCTGGTGTCACGCTTAGCTACTGCACGGCCGCGTCACCAAAGTACATGTCCCTCCTTACCCAAGTTATTTCGGTGCAGAGGGAAACAGCAATGCCCCGCCGAGGCTGAGAATCGGATTCGTATCCGCTTTGATGCCACCACTGTGGACATCGACAGGCCTGTGACGGGGAAGACTTGTACGTTGGCTGCCTCTCAATCCTGAAATGGCCAGGCTTCGTAACGAAATCCAGCGAGTCGGAGAGGATTTGGGATATGCCTCTGCCCTACTGTGCCATGCCCTACCCAGCCTTGGCAAAATGCGGCTAGCTGTGTGTTGCAGTTTAGCTTTCTGTGAATGAACCCGGCTTGGCAGAAATGCCGAGCTCCTTGTTTTTCTATACAGTCTGCATGGTAACTGTTTCGGAAACATTTGCCCAGGCGGTGACTTGCCTGACCCTGGATGCACATGCCCAGTTTCGGGCGTTCACACCGAGCCGAGCTAAGTTGCTGGTACTCGTACCGTGCGCAGGCAGCAAACATCAATACTCGGTTCTTACAAACATGCTTCGTAAATCGAAGTTGCAAATGTGAGCCAGCAGGAATCCGGCTTCTTTCATGGCAGGCGGCGAAATTCCAGCTCCTTGTTCATGCCGTTGAGGTACGTACAACTATGTTCTGAGCAGTCCTTTAACCACTCCAGCTTAGCCTTACTACAGGCAGGCTGCAGAAGTTTGCTCGATCTGAAGTTTCTGGATGACATGCATGCAGCAAGGCATCTATCTATCAAGTAATGCACCGCTTGAGTCTCTTGGTTAGACTACTGACTAATGTCGAGATTGCAATAGTAAAGGCGGTGCCAATGATGTAGTGTTACAGGCCAGGTTCACGCAGCAATTCCCATTTTCAATGAAGCCCTTTCTTCTTTAAAGGCCAAGCTTGGAATCTCCTTAGACACCCCAAGGCCTTGAAGCTACCAGCCTCAGTCTTCACATGACTCGTGGGTTGTTGCGATCCCCCCCCCCTTTCCGTAGACCAAAACCGCCAAACAAGATCTGGGGGGGTGGTATCATTTATATTTTCATTGAAACAATAGGGTCAGCAGAGGTGTTGGCAGCGGCCAGGTACACAGGATACACCATAGGTGGCCAACAGGTCCATCTCATGGCCCATATCCTGTAGAACCGTCGCTGCTCCTTCCACCAGGCTGCAGCCAAGACAATTTCAGTGATGTAAGGCAGGTGGAGGATTTGAGCACAGCGGCAGATAACAAGAGCACTGCATCATCCGAGCAGTGTAGTCAACAATGTTTGCATGAAATATGTCAGGGGCATAGGCAAGATCCCCGAAGCACGTGGGGCTGAAAAAGTGATGGTGGACTGAAATTCGGTAGGGCTGCAAAATTTTAATTGTCGTGTGTTACTCCGTGTGTGTGTGTGGGTGGGTGTTTGCAAAGTCTACTTGCACTTTGACTGCAGTCAACTGGCAAGAAAACACGCTCTAACAAGTCGACTGGACAGATGAGTTAACACTGAAATATTCTAGGCCGGATTGACAAACTGGAATTCGGTTCGCTCTCAAGCATGCATGCCAACAGCGTTTGAGCTCTTGCGGAAAGTTCCATTCAACGGTCATCTGCACCAGTTCATCAGTGGTGTGTATGTTTGCGGCTGGGGACGCGGCTTAAGTTCTTCGTTCTCTGCTAAAGCCAGCACAAGGAGCTATTTGCTTCGCCGCCGCGCATTCGTGGCAACCTACCTCATGGAAAGAATGAGAGCGCGGGACCCAGACATCGACACTGACCTTGTTTGAGCAGAGATTCTGCGAAAGATGGGAGGCACGGTGCCCCTTGCGCCGCCGGATCCCTTATGGGAGGAGTGCCACCTGAGTCGAATCAGTAATCACTCCTGAGCATTCTTGAGGGGGCAGGTTGGATAAACTTATAAGCCGCAGTGCTTGCCGCTGGACTGTTGCAGCTTGTTCAGTTGTTCTCACTGCACCTCGCCATACACGTGTAACTCGAATGCCCAAGCCGCTGCCAGGAAAAAGCAGACCGCCCCCACTTGGTTGGCAGCATAAAGACCTGCCAACCCAGCTTGTAAGGGAGGCCACTGTACAGTTTTTCGCAAGAGCAGCTTGGCCACTGAGAGCCGCGGTACGCGCATGACTTGCCACCCGTTTGACGGTGCAATGCCAGTAGATGCAAAGTGAATCCTTTGTAACCGATTGCATGTGAGCCTGCTGTGGCCTGAGCAACAAATTGGATCGGCATGTGATTACTCCTGTTCAGAGGTTTGGCAGCAAGACATGGTGCTCTCTGCTGTGAAGCAGTTCAAGACTAGCTGCCAAGACACATGGCAGTGCACGGCATGCTGACAGGATGCCATTAGCCCCTCGCGAGCTGTTGAAGGCGGGCAGTGGGTTGTGCAAAAGCAGACTGGAATTGTCCGCATGGATCGTTAAATCAGCTTTGTTGCACACCCAAGAGCTGATTTTTCATTCTATTGACAGGTTTGGACTAGACTCCAGGTGCAAAACAAGGGCAGGAGTAAAGAAACAGGAAGGGGAATCGAAAGGGGCTTTGGAGGATATTGGACGAGTACTGGACAGTCAGAACTGCTGTCCTTGGTGTGCATGCTTCCAGGCGGATGCAGAAACAACGTTCCCTATGACATCGGACCAGATTCCAGATGATGAGTAAGTTGAATAGTCTTTTGCTCAGAGGCCCGCCCAAATCCAACGAAGATGAGATTACCTAGCTCCAAGCCATCATACTCAGCAGATATAGACTTGGCACTTCCTCGCGTTCAGATTTAGAGTTACATGGCAAAGAGAGCCTGAGCAAGAAGTCTATCTTTCAGTGGCCGTAGCCATACCCATCATGTACACAGAAGACTCACTATTTCAAGGACGGTCCATGTGCTCAAAAATTAGGATCAGTGCAGGCGCTGATGAGGCTGCACCGTGAGCTTCGCGTGCAGGCAGCGCTCGGCATTTCTACCGGCTAGTGGCGCAAAATGGCTACAACACAGTCTGTGGATGAAGAAGCTGAGGTGGCGGAGATGCCTACTGAGGAAGCCATACTAGCCCCTCGAGCAGAGGTCACTTTGCTCCGGTTGAGCTTTCAATGGCTCCCGGAGCTGTTTTCAACTCTTGCTTTTGGGTTGTTTTTTGCACCGATGCATTCTTACTCCCTGGAGCAACTTATTTTGCACTGCATGTGCTAATGCATGAATTCTGTCTGCCATGACCTGGGACCAACCTGCACTAAGTGCAGACGCTAGCGCAGAAGAAGAGCTTGCACGCAGCTGCTACAAGGGCAATTTCAGTCCCGTCGACACACGAGAAGTTATATCACTCTAGCGCTTGAGCGATTTCACGCAGCAGACTGCGAAGTCGCATCACGCGGGCACGCAAGGCCACATCAGCCAGATCACGATTCGCACCTTTTCCTAAGCTCGCCTGCCTGGCATGTCAAATTTCGGCACGCTCCAAATCCAGCAATTGGAGCTCACGCGCCGGTACAACCAAGGTTTCAAGCAGCATTCCCGCCATGTCAAGCTGAGCCCATGCGACTTCACACACCTCCAGGGACTCAACACAAGGCCCTTACATGCAAGACTTTCTACATGCTTCTAGAATTCTAGAATCTGACATGTTCTGCTTGATGTCATCCCTGTTGTTGTACGTCTCTTCTGCTTTTCCGACCCCTTCCCCCACTTCGTTGTTTGGTCACACTTTCCTCCTCCCCAAATACGCCCACTCGGCAACCAGGTTGGTTGCTTCGCCAAAGTTGCTCTGTGGCATGAATTGCCTTTCCAGTTTGCATTCAAGTAGCCAAGGTCTTCGTGCTATTGAGATAGACCTTTTAGATTCGTTTGAGGCCCCCCGCCCACAACTGCATGGTCCTTCCATGCACTTGTCGATTGCCCGGCACGCAGCTGGTGTTACGAGGGGTACGTAAATTGATTGTGAGAACTGGCATTGTGAAACCGTACTGGAACTTTGTCATTATCGCAGAACGATTGAAACTTCAGCGCAGGCTTGTGTGATTCATGCCCAATGCATATGACATGATGCAAAGCCATACGAGAGCCTTCGCAGCTCTGTACGAATGTGATGGGGTTGAATGTTGCTTCAGGCTCGCAGCAAGACCGTCAAAATCCTTCGTCTCAAACTGCATCGTCAAACATACT